ACTGATCACTGTTGGCATCTACTTCCTTTTCAAGCTTCCTGAAAAACTGCTCTTTTCACAAGGTTGTAATTGGATCCAGCAATACAGTTTTGGTCCTGAGAAGTACACAGGTTCAAATGTGTTTGGAAAATTACGCAAATGTGTGGAATTACTGAAAACACAGGTGAGTGTCTGGGGGGGAACAGACTAGGCATGAAATCACGCATCCAATGCGTTAACTGCCGCCTCTCCTGTCAGGCCTGTCACTTCCTGTTCTGTAAGGAGGAAGTGTGGGCAGAAACACTCTTCCAGGAACCGACAGTCTCCTTTCCTATCCCTTCTCCTTCCAAGTCATGAACAAGAGCCATGTTCTACGTGATTGTTAGGCCTGTTAATGGGTTAAGGGGGCTTTTGTGGGCTGGCCGGGAAACCTTGACAATCACGTACCTGTGTTTCCCCAGAAAAATACGGTGCGGGATCCAGACAGGTCACTCAGAAATGCTTTTCTGGGCTGTTAGTAACTCGGGGACAGCTCACATGTTATGATTTGACTAAGAGTTTTTCCTGCCTTTTAGTAAAGACATAGGTTTTAGATTGTTGAAATGAACCTTCCTTGGGAAAGAGTACAACATTTTTCTGCCGTGTCTTTCTGATCTGTAACACTGGAATTCAAATAGTATTTGGCCGGTACTGTTATTGTGAGGACTCAGTGAGCGAACACAGGTAGAGCGCTTTAAACTGTGCCCTGGCACAGTGGGTGGTGAAGAACACCAGTTAGCACTGTTTGTCTCTGGAGCATCCCTTGTGTAACCCAGCCACCCGAGAGGTAGTTTTAGGAAACTGACTTGTTTAGTATTTTACCTTTATAGGTGGTGGTTTTTTGAAAAAAAAAATTTCATTCAAACTAGTTTGTTGCTGTAAAAGTAATACTTCGGGTTAAAAAAATCAATGTCTTAAAGATATAAAATGAAAAGTTAAAGTTCCACTCCCCTCTGTTAATCTCTGGTTTGTTTTATAAGTGGTTTAAAAATTACACAGTGGTGTACGTATTCCCCTGACCCTTCTGAGTGTCACTTCTACATCTATGTTTTTAGTGGACTGAATTCAGTGGGATTAAGGATTATCACAAGAGAGGGAGTATGTGCAACATCCTTTTCTCTGATGCTCTTCTGGAATATAAACTGTACGAAGCTCTGAAGTTCATCATGCTCTACCAAGTCACTGAGGTCTATGAACAAATGAAGACTAAGAAGGTCATTCCCAGTCCTTTCCGGCTCCTGTTCACCAGGGAGACCTCCTCCGACCCTTTGAGCTTCATGATTAATCACCTGAATTCTGTAGGCGACACGTGTGGACTTGAGCAGGTACACGGGGCAGAAGATTCGTGTGTGTTTAGTGAAGGACGATGGTGGTAACGCTTGAGCACAGAGGGGTGTGGGGCTAACGTCCAGCAGTGATAAATGCAGCTGCAGAGAGGTGGGGGCTGGGGATCGCTGGCCCTCCAGTGAGGAAGGGAAGCGTGCTAAGCCTTCAGGCCGTGCCGGTCGCTGCATCATCGCAGCCCTGTGGCCGGTGAGCAGCAGTGCCCGAGCCTTTCTGACCTTCATGCTGCCTCTCAGGTGGGAACAGCTCCTCCCACAACAGGGGTTGCCCAGGAGAAGAAGGACCCACTCAGGTCGCCCAGTTGGAAAATGAGATAACATTTGGGAAAGCATGTGGTTACTTACTGCAGATAAATAGAAATCATTGAAATTTTAAAAATCCAGACAATGCTTTTGTGTCCCCACAGGAAAGGAGTTTTGTTTTACTTTGCTTTCCTAAGAGGTGCTCAGACTTATCTGACATTTCAGTAAACATTGATTTAAAACAAATAACTAGTTGGAAAAGAGCAATTTTTATTGTGAGCATTTATGTTTTATTAGTTTCTTTTTCAAATAGCTCTCCCTGTAGTTGCTTCACACTCATGTCCAGAGGTGCCCCCCCCGCTTGTGGCCGCCTTCCCTGGGGTGGATGCTGGCTCCCAGCTCTGCGTCCACCCCGTGGTTCACGTGTGGGTCTGTCAACAAGTCTGTGACCCAGCTGCAGAGGAACACGCTGTCTGCTGGTGGGAGGCAGCAATTTGGAAATGTATATTTGTGACCTCTTTCATCTCTCCCCCAGATTGATATGTTTATACTTGGATACTGCCTTGAAGTGAAGATAAAAGTGTTCAGACTATTCAAGTTTAACTCCCGAGACTTTGAAGTCTGCTACCCAGAGGAGCCGCTCAGGGAGTGGCCGGAGATCTCCCTGCTGACCGAGAATGACCGCCACTACCACGTTCCTGTCTTTTAAGTCCGGCTGGACCAGGCACCAGCTCTCGCCAGTGACAGTGCTCACACGAGATGTTTCTCAGAGACCAGAGCTAGTGCTGCTGCCGCTGAAGGAACGGGGAGCTTCCTCCCTGGGATTACAGGTACACTGGATGCAGACTCAAGTGCCTTCCCTTCGTCTTCCGTGATTTCCTCCAGAGCAGCTGCACTAATGTATTTGTGGGTTGCTGGTTTGACCTTGTTCCTCAGGGCCCTGGTCATTTCACACGCAGCAGGCCTTTAAGAGCACAAGAATGTTTATTTTGAACAGCAGGAAAAAAAGCGGGAAGAAAACAAGTAGGGGAAAAGGACTAAAGGGAAAGGAAGAATTTGTCTGTAACCTTTCTGTTCTTAAGAATCTTGTCTTTGGCTGATTTTGGGTCTGCAAAACAAGGCCTTATTTTATAAAGCATTACCTTCCCAGGAGTCTTTATGGTATTTCGACTTTCCAGGATCATTTGATTAACTTTGAAATTGTGTGTGTGTGTGTGGGGTTTACACTCACACACATACAGGTATGGTTTTAGATATACATATAAACACATACACACATAGCCACTACTTTGTGAGGTTGTACAGTTTGTTTTATATCTCTTTATATTTTTTGCTCTGGCCTGTTTAATATTGCTTCTGGCCAGTCCAATAGGTTTTATATAAATTAAAAAGATACATTCTGTAGATTAAGGCAATTAAATGACAATTACTGAACTGTCACAAAACTGTTAAACTGGCGTATTTAATGTGTATTTACATGTGTATTTAACGTGTGGTAAGTAGACTCACACTCCCCACCCCACCCCCGCCAGGTGTCGGCATCCTAACCCCCAGACCCGTGAATACTGTTGGGTTCAACGGCAAAGGCGAGTAAGGTTGCAGGTGGAATTAAGGGACTAATCCATTGACCTTGAACTAGGGAGAGGAGTCTGCGTGCTCCAGGTGGGCCCAGTGTAGTCACAGGGGTCCTTAAAGGTAGAGAGGCACTTGGGAGAGTGTCAGTCGGAGGGACATGTGAGGTGGGGAAGAGCTGTCAGGTGCAGCAGCACTGGCTCTGTGACCGGCAGCAGGCACAGGAAGGAAGTTACTGCAGTTACAGGAAGGAGCCACGCGCCGGAGAGTGGGGGCGGCCCCCGGAAGCTGGAGAAGGCCGGGGAGCGGATCCCCCCCGGAGCCTCCAGAAGGGGACGCGGCCTTGACAGCACTTTGACCTCAGCCCTGTGGAACCCGTGTGGGACCTCTAGCCTGCAGGACTGCAGGATCACACACGTGTGGCGTTCAGGCCACCAAGTCTGTGCTAATGTGTTGCAACAACGATAGACAACTGATGTCCTCAGGCTGACTGCCTTTTGGTCATCTTTATCTTGGACATGCTTCCCTAGTTTACTTCGGTAATCTTTATTTTGGAGGTACTTTGCTAGTTTGTTTCAAATTTCAATGAACACAAAATAACTTGAAAAATCTTGGCTAATGACATACTACTTCAAAGTTACGAGCCCCTCCTAAGGATGGCAGCGTGTTTGATGCTAATGTTCTCTCACGTTTCCGCATTTTTACTATAAATAAAAAGAGGTATGTTCAATGCTGTGGTGTATGAAAATCAGACTCGGGTTCTCTTGTAAGGGGGATAATCACCTGCGTGTGTTACATAGGCAGGTTTTGCCTGCGGTCATTTTGTTTTCTGGGTGAAGCGCTGGAGAGGAAGGAGCCCCACCACGGGCCTTTGCGTTCCTTTCACAGCCACCCAGAAGAGGCGAGCCTAGCTGATCTCTACAGCCCCTTCCTGCTTGGAGGTGTCATTTCACTGACACTGTTGCAGGTTACCCCCTTGATGTACTACTGTGACCAAGAAAAAATGAACTCTCCCCTTTGTGTTCACTGCGACTGAGACTCACATAATTGCTGCTCCAGACTCCTGGCTCACCTGAGCCTGTCTGGGTACCTGCCTGGCATTTGTATATTCTCAGTCGCCTTGCGTCTCTTTACCCAGTGCAGTGATCTCCACATCAATCCAGGACTGGAAGGAAAAACTTTTCACAAGGATCAGCAGCCTATAACTCTGTGACGTATCAACCCGTGATGTTTATCCTTAACTGTGGTGGCAGATGGGGCAGAGTGGGGCAAGAACGCTTCACATAAAGGGGCAAGACCAAATTGTGAATAAAGGACATTTAAAGTCAATGAAAGTAAAGAAGACTTTTAAATAGTTGCTATGTTTTGAGAAAGCTTCAAAACAGAAGATTTTCAGGGAAGAGATATTGGATATTTTTGTTTTGTTTTTAATTCAGTTGTATAATTTCATGAATGTAACAAACTAATTAGGAGGAATTGCATATAAATTAGTAACACTTTTACATGCCACCAATAAATTGGAAGTGAATTTCCTGTGTGATGCCAACATTTAATGGCTTTCTAACCTTGTAGGTTTCAAATGATGCGAGGAATTATAGCTAAAATGAAAACACATGCCCTTGTTCTTTTCTGATTCTTAGAACAAGTTCCTCTCTTAAATTTTGGTCACATGTGTCCACACTGAGTTGTATGAATATTGTTAGTATAAGACTGAGTTTTTATTGTGTCAAAATATACATACAATTTACCATTTTAACTATTTTTAAGCGTTTAGTTCAGCGGCATTATGTACTATCATCACCATCCAGCCTCAGAACTTTTTTCTTTTTTTTGGTAAGTTTAATTCCCCCACCTCGTGCCAGGATTTCTTACACTTCTCACATGAGCTTTATATCATGCCCTTCTAATCTCAGTATTTCCTCCAGGCTTAAACGGTCCTCAGTGTAGGAGTCCAGTGTCAGGGAGGGTTAGGTGACCAAACTGATCAGGCACATTGTGTTCTGCTGCATCTCAAAAGTAAAGAACTGTGTATGGCTTCTGGTTTCATGCTAGGAACAAAAAATCTTTTTTCTAACTTCTAAAACCTCAGACAGAACCAAGAAGAGGTTGGCTGTTAAAAAAAAATTGAGTATCAGCATAGCATTTTAAAATTCCGTTTTGCTCACCCTTCAGTTTGAAAAGATGGGGTGGAGGTCAAATGAGTAACGCTAGACATTTTCCTGGACAGCATGTAACTTAGTCCATTGCTCCTAACCATAGACCAGCACATTCATAAGGACAAACACAAGAGCCTGAGACTTCCCTGGCCCCATTCCTCGTTATCCCTGTCATCCCCAAAGACAAAATCTGGGAGATGCCGTGGGAATGCCTTCACGTACCTCAAGTGTCGGCCTCTGTCCGCTGCTCAGCGTGCGCCAGGACTTCCTGTGGGTGGTGGCTTCTCTGTTGGACTAACCTCCCAGGAAGGACCCCAGGATTAGGTGGAGAGAAGCAGCTGGTGCAAACTGACAACAGGTGAAGACCTAGAAAACTGCATGAATGTTCTGGAACTTTCAGTGTGCGATTCCAAGGAAACACATTTATGACTCTCTTAAATAAAAAACAGAGCAGAGATAAGGTGATGCTTAGTGAGAATGATGTTTGTTATAAAATATTCATATCCCTGGAGGTAAATAGGAAAGATAAGTACGTATTTATATCTCTTACCAGAAGCTGCCCTTGGCTATAAATCAAGCATGCTGGGTAGATTAAAAGAAAAACTCAGCACTGGTATATATATTCCATCTATGTATAATTCATTTATCAGAAAATGGTAAATGGATGTTAATTCTTCCACTAGGTCTATATTTCACAAGGTAATAATGGAGCACTTCAATCGGCTTGTGAGAGCAGTCGGTCACCAGCTGCATTTTCGGCTGTGCCTCCTGTGTGTCTTTTTATGTGCAAGCACACCGAGAGAGAAGCCACGCACTGTGCAGGAAAGGGAGACACCACGAGTCTCTTTTTGGAGCAGGAAGTAAAGTGGCTTTTTCCCTTCGAAAACTGTGGCAGAGCAATGCTTTTAAAACTGTCCGTGGTGAATCTGTGGTGTAATCCATTTAAAAAACTGCCAATCCTTTACAGACTGGCACTTTTGTAAAATTAAATTAAAATGTTGCACCAAGATCAAGTTGCCATAAAAGTTTCTAAACACTCGCTCTCCATTTCTGTACGTATTCTTGCAGATTGGCAAGAGTTGGTTGGCACTGGTCTGGAGAGCACACTTCTGTAGCACTGAAGTAGGAGTTTCAGGGGCGAATCAATAGGTTCTGATGTTATTTACCTGTGGGTTTGGGATTTTGCCCAGAGTGGGAGGGCAGTGCTAGGATTTTTTCATTTTTGTTTTTGTTTTGCTATTATTGGCCCAGCCAAGGCCACTGTGTGTGTGCGGTATGCACCTTGGGGAGGTGAGTAAGTGCTGGACTCTCTCCTCCGAGTGGTGACCTCTTTTTGGCAGGGGCCCTTGGATCAGCCTTCGGGCAGCCCCACTTACATCAGCAGTAGGATGCTACTTTTTTGAGGTTTCCACAGGTTCCTACATACTCTTAGCAGAAATCAGCAAGAACCTTATTTTGATTTCAGTTCTTTATGCTTGAAATCATCGTCACGTTTATTTCTTTACTGGATTTCAAGCTCCTGTGGGAAGGAGTGTGGGTCTCATACCACTGTGACTAGAACAGTGCCCGTACAAACACCAAGCAAGTTCTGAATCACAAGCTAAGAAGGAAAGCCCAGCCCCTCTGTTAACCTTCTTAAAGAAGCAACGGATCTAATAGTGTGACGATTTCCCCCTCAAGTTTCTTTTTATTGATCCAGGACTTAAAGAGACCCAGGTTTTTAGATGTAGTTCTGGGGAAGAGACGTTAATGACAATAATGATACCCTGACTATGACCCAAGTCACAGTGACCACAATAGACAGAATGGCCACAATAGACATGAGAGGTCAAGCCAAGTATTGCTAACATTTTATCTCTCCTGAGGTTAACATTAACCAAGGACATTGAGTTCACCGAGAAACAGGTTCTTAAACAAATATGACTCATAAAAGAATGTTATTTACTGGGGTACAAACTCCTAAGAAAGAACAGAATGTTAAGGTGCCCAGGGAATACACGCCATATTCCACTGCTTGTGGAAGAGGCTGACCCCAGCCCGGACTCTGCAGAGCCTCCTGGCAGGTCCCTGGTAGGAGGCATGAAGTCGGGTGGGGCTACAAGGGCATATCCGCAGAGCCGTGGCAGGTACACTTGAATGCATCTCAGATATTCATCAAAAGTCAGAAGCAGAAGGACACACAAGGTGCACAGCTGCGATCAGGAAAAATGAAGGCCTGGACGCTTATCACCAACACAGAGGAAACACCTTCTGGTGGCAAATGTGGCAAGAGGGAGTTCTTAAACAACAGGGGGCATGGAATGGTCTCTTCCCCACCAGACACATCCATCTCACCTTGGCTCCTGAGGTCTTCATGCACCTGAAAGACACACACAGGCCTCGTCCGTGGTGGGCTGAAGAGGTGGTACAGGCTCAGTGTCTGCAGCAAGGAAGAGGTTTGAGCAAATCCATGAATTCCAGTCCTGTGTGGGTTTCAGTGAGAATGACAAGTGCCTATGAGCTGAAGTTGCTGTTTTATGATTAATATGAAATATTGCCTAAGCCTAAGTCAGCCTTGCCAGAAATATGCAAGAAATATGAGTTTCTAACATACTTTGGGTTCTGTTCAAGCAGTTTAGGTTGTGAGGACAGATAACTACTTAAGTCAGTTTGACAAGGAGACTCCCACAGAACAGGAAGGAAGTACAGCCAGTCCTCCTGGAAGGGGCCTGGGACCCAGAGACACATGAGTGAAGGCTTCCAGCTGTGTTTCTCACGATCCACAGAGAGGTGGTCTCACTGTTCAAGATCCCTCTGCCTCTCTCTATACAAGTTCTCTCCCTGTCTCTCTCTGCCTCCCCCTTCCTCTCTTTGTCTCCCGCCACCTCTCTCTCCCACTCTCCATCCTCTGGGCACAAAAGGCTGCTCCCACCATTGAAGGAAACTGCATCTTCAAATTTCTGAGAAGCAAAATCTGACTGGTTCAGCCAGCCTATGGAACCTTGAGCCATGCACACAACTCTATCCAGTCATCTGTGGCCAGGGCTTGGGGCCCGAGTGCCTGCAGCACAGCTTCAAAGTTTCTAGGAAGCAGCTGCAATCAGGGCACGCTTCAAACCATATCTAATGCACGTGGAGATTTCACAGCTCAGGTGTACCCAGGCGCGACCTTCAGCGATGGAATAAGGGTCTTCATGGTTCAGGGCACCTCATCATTAAGGTTGGTAATAATCCAGTTAGCATCCTCATAGATAGAAACATTAACAATGGAGAGCAGCAAAGACAACGCAGGTGGCACCAAAGTGTTCAGGTACCAGTCACACAAGGTTTCCCCCAGGAAGCAGTTTTCTCAGTGGCCCGAGGGGAAGATAGAAAAAAAAAAAAGCTACGGGTTCAGAGTAATTCCCTTC